GTGATGACTGTTTGATGGCCAACATTTCCGTTGTCAATTGCTGCAATCTTATCACGTGCGTTAGATGTTGATGTGATGATTGCTCGACCATCGGACGCACCGACCCTGGTGTTGGGAGGATTGTTCACCTGTGCGCTCCCCGCATGGCTAATTACTCCGCCTAGGCGAAGCATCCTTTAAATACTGCAGCCCCTTATGCATGAACAACCCGTATCTGCCTTTGTATGTGATGATGGGTTCGAGCAGGAATCCGAAACGTCCGACTAATAAAGCTCTTGTCCCAACGATCGTGTCTCCTTCTTCAAGTCTTATTTCAATCGTTAGACACACCCCTTCCTCCCTACCCCATGCTCCAGTCGACTGCCCGTACCTGTTAATCAATGGGTGATGGAATTTACTACTGTTGCTGATGTGGCGTGCTGACTTACAGCAGCTGCCGTAGTGAGAGCATCTCGTGGACTCAGTGCGAACCCCGTTTGTCGTGTACATCCCCAGCGCAGCCGGCGTTGAGACCCGTTGAGGAAAGACCCAGTAAGAAAAGGAAAGCAGCTTGGCATATTGCTTCCATAGATTGAAAATAGGCGAGTATAAGTGGTAAATGCAAAGTACGCAGGCGTAGAGAGAGATTTTAACTGCTATGGAAACCCAACACCAGCGCGTCCAGCGAACACAGGGCACCAAAGTGCTTTTTAGGACTTTTTGGGGTGGGAGATAGCCCAGTGATTCATGGAATCAGCTGCATTTCGATGATCGCCATGAGCCCCCAACAGGTGCCTCAGATGTTGGCTCCGTGAGGTGCCTTTAAGGCCCCCCCCCCTTCTAAATGGGAACCCCAAGAATCCAAGGCTCCATCTTAAGCCAGTTTCGACCAATAAGAAGCCGTCGAGCGCATACTGTACATGCCTCAGTGCCCCAACCTTCGACGCAGAAGCTAAACTGACGGGAAAGAATGCAAATGGCACCATCCCCTGCCTCTTTCGGGCGCAACCATCGCTGTTGCACTTTCATTCACCTAACTGGGGTCGATTAATTGTCTCGGATTGGGGGGGGGGAACTGCGATAGTATGCAAGTATCCGGTTCCAATTTTTCAGAATCGAACGCCAAATAATTAGGGAACGGGGAATGGCTAATACAGAATGACGAGTAACAATGGCTGCAAGACAGATGTCCTCGTCTGGTTTTCTTTGTATCCATCCAGTTACTTTGTTTGTGAGAACTAATTAGCCCAATCCACCGGTCAAGCAGATGATGACGGAGGACAGAGAACGAGACTACGACAGTGTGACTGCACGCACCAACGTTCACCATGATGACACGTGTGTGTTAGGCGTCGTACCTCTTGGAACATTGACACAACCTATCTAACACGCCTTCAACTGGAAGAGAGCATTTAGATGAGAGAAAAAATTAGCTGGCCAGGGGCGTAGTCGCGTACGAAAGAATCCTTGCTGCAGCCATATACAGCAGAGGTGCTAGATCAAGAAATGTGAACCGAAATTCTGAAATGCGTTTTCGACTCGGAAAGATTACTTAGGTAAGGTCGTTGTATTAATCACCATGCAGAATAATCCCAAGATAATTTAGTTACTTTTAGATGTCGGCTTTCGAGCAAACTTCTTTCCGACGGTCCGCAAAAATTACGCCCTGCAAAAAATGCCTACCTCAGAAGTGTGAACTTTTCCCATTTGTTTTCGGTGCTTTTTAAAATTTAAATATATTTCATGGAAAACGGGCATAAAAATATCCACTTTCTTATTCATTTGGTGGAGAATCACGTTTTCTTCGAATCCCATACTTGAAGGAAGTGTACAATTTGGCTTTGAAAAAGTTTCTGATTATGAGATTTTTTAAAAGCGTGGAATGCCCGTTCATGAAACATTGTATCTCTGCATTGAATAAGGTTGTTTGTAAAGTTTACAATATGACTCAACTCCGCTGCCAAAGTTTATGAACCCCATATGGTCTCCTCTTAAGACGCATAGAAATGCGAGATTTACCGTGCACGGAAAATATACAGCTTATAATTTGGAAACCCTGGATGGTAATGGACGGCAGATCGAGTTCAAACTAACTCTTGAATGGAAAAAGTTTTTTTAAAACTTAATTATACCCTTCTTATAAGTTTAAAATTTGAAGGAGACTTAATTTTCCGTCAAATGCGTAAAAGGACAAGTATTTTCATGCATGTTTTGTATGAAGTATATCTGAATTTCCAAAGGCATCGAAAATAAATTTGAAAAAGGCATACTATTTATGCAGTCATTTTTTACAGAGTGTAGTTCCCGCAGGCGGCAGAAAAGAAGTTCATTCAAAAGCTGGTATCATGAAGTAACTGAAATATCTTGGAATTATGCTGCAAGTTGATTAATACTACCACCCTATTTAAGCAATCTTCCCGAGTCGAAAGCGCATTACCGAATTTCGGCTTACATTTCATGAGTTAGTACATCTACTGTAGTGGAAGGGTCCCCGTACGGGCCCATGTATCGAGAACGTGGGATGACATATTAGCTTGAGCAGTCACCAACTTAATGACGAGCTGCTGCATTTGACTGCCATGTTTTTTTATTCAGCCTCATTGCGGCTATCAGTCCTCAAGTCATTTGTCATACACGTTTCCCCGCCTCCCAGAATGATCCCAGCCAACAAGTAGGCCGTTGGCGGCGGAATTTCATTATCAGCCAATGCGGGCAATCTCTGTTATTTGGTGAAATAGCTAACTGAAGAACATATGGGGAAGCCCGTATCGGTTAATCTCAACTTACCCATCCATTTATCTGCCTTCGCATACCACCGTCAGCTAGTCCGTAGTAGGCGGTTTCTTGTGCGTGGCCTCTTCCACTATATCAGTAGCATGTCTCTCCCGGAAAGCCAGACGAACGGCAGTGTGCAGAGATGCGTGGAAGATGCACCTTAGACAGGCAGCAACGCAAATAAAAAGAGCCCAAAATTAGGCTAGTCCCATACGAAAGTAGGAACGCCATGACCTATGAAGTAAATTAGGATCGCGCTTAATGGTCACAATAGTTAGAACCATCCACTAATGAAGTTACACGACAGCTCGACCACCATGATCTACGATGCCCACCGTGTGCTCCACAGCAGGGTAAACGCGGGGGCGGTGTCTTGCACGTCAGTTCGTTTATAGTGAGAGTGGGTTTGCGCAGTACCTACCGCACTCTCTCCCCCAGTTTCACGGCAGAGTCAAGACCGGATGCGGTTGAAGACGCAGGTGGCTGTCACGGCGAAAACCCACACTTTAATGCGTGCCATCGCACTGGATCCGACTCCACTGAGTGCCACAGGGGCCACCTTAAATATTAGCCTATGCAGTCTGAGTCTCAGTCCACCAGGCGGCCAATCCTTACAAGCAAACTGACTGCGAAGTCCCAGTTGTTCCGTCAGTTGGCAGCCACGGCTTCCAGCGCACCGTAAAAGTCTCAGGACCGTCGATATCCCTCTCTCTCTATTTGAACTTCCGGGCACCGAGCCAGTCCGATGTCCAATGCGGGGAGTGGGCGCAGTAGCTGACAGAGCTGGGAGCGGTCTACGCGTGCCACACGCGACCTGACCCCCAAACGTACACATCAGGATTTCACACAAAAGTGGATAGATCACTCGAATCTTAAGTAAGATGTGATTATGTGGCCCCACCTGATGGACATAATGCAGTTGGGGTTGGAGTTAGAGATGAGGACTAGGGGTTAGGGTTAGGGGTTATTGCCTTTCTTTCTCCGCCAATCAGAGTACAACCGCGCACTTCCAATAACTTTTCTTTTGTATACAACCACCTGACCTCGTCGCCGGTGCGTTCCCCGCACCCACCTGTAAAATCCCCTATTACCACCGATCGCAAATTACAGGTGGCTGTGGTTTGTTTACTTCAGATGGGGCTGCATGACCACATCCGTCCGAATCTTACATGCGGCAGACGAGCCGCGTGGAGAAAGGAGCCAAGATGCATAACTCCCACATACCTGAGCAGTGTCTGTGGTGTGGGGTGTTAGAAGTGGTCATGTGTGGCGCACGAGTTGATGGGGAATGTGGTCGTATATGCGGGGATTTTCCGCAGGTTCTCACGAGTGTGCATGTGAAGGAATAGGCCGTTGCAATGTCTGAATATGCGAGGGCGTCTGGTGTATGTCGATGTTCAGCCGCTAGTTCGCCAGTCTCCACTTGATGAGTTCGTAAGTGATCGAATAGGCCAGCGCGTTACGCGAATGTGCGATGGCAGTGTGAGCAGGGTATGCTGGGGTACGCTAAGTCTGTTGCCGCTGAGAAGATGCTAACGGTGGTCTCGCCGGTGGATGGGGAGATAAGAAGTGGAAGCCATCGCTGGAAAAGGGGACTTATTCGACTGACGTTTCGGATTCTCGCCTGAACCCATCGTCAGAGACAGTGACAGAAAAGGGTGACTCGTGCACAGGAAGTTGCAGCATTCATAGGATGCAGTCGCGATGATACCGCCTACCTATAACAATTAACCGCGCCCCTCTTCATTAAGGATTGTTGCCCGCTGGTGCGTTAATGGTTTGATGGCCGGCATGAAAGATGTTCATTGCTGAAATCTCATCACTCGTGTTGGATGCTGGTGTGAGGATTGCCCGACCATCTGGCCCACCGGCCTGCGCACTCTCCGAGTGGCTAACTATTTTGGCCAGACTAAGCCTCAGCACTGAATATGGGGTGGGCCTGTCGTTGCACTAGTTGATAGACTGGAGTCCCGTGAACCATGACTCAAGCAAATCGTGGCTCATGCGATTATCACCTCTCGTGAGAATTTCGGCCTCATCGAGCTTGAATGTTTGGTCCGGCGTCGTCGAATGGGCCGCCAACTGCGAGTTTGTGTCATTTCTCGGCACCATTGCCGCGTGTATGGCAATTCGCGTCTGGAGGAGCCTTTCAGTTTCTCCGACGTAGTTGCTTTACCCGCAAATGCACCAGATCCGGTAAACGACTCCAGATGTTTCTTGCTGTGGCGGTGGGTCTTTCGGTCTCATCACCTCTGACGCTTTATGGGGGTCTCCGGTCTGTGTGCAACTCCAACCTCAAGTGGTGCGAGAAGGCGACTAACGGCCTCGGAGACGTTCTTGATACACTGGATCGCTCGCCAGAATTTAGGGTCGGTAAGGTTGTGTCGCTCGTCTCGTTTGCGCATACACCGGTTGACAAAGTTGCACGGGTAACCATTTTCTCTAAAAACCAGTCGAAGATATTGAAATTCAGCTACCTTTACTTCCGGTTCACTGCAGTGCGTCTGAACACGTCCATGTAGCGTGCTTACGCAACTGCGTTTTTGGCTGATTGGGTAGTTGCTGTTGAAGTTCAGTATTGGCGCCGTGTTCGTCGCTTTCATGAGCATTTCGGTCTTTAGGCCACCACAATCCTTGTGACAGACGACGACATCAAGGAAGGCCAGCTGGTTGTTTTCTTCCTCCTCCATCTTAAAAAGTATGCTCGTGAAGACTTTGCTGAGACGTTCTTTCAACGTTAGTACCTGATCCCGTTCGATGACGATGAAGGTATCGTCCACATACCGAGCCCAGAATATCGGTCTGTGGTGTTGCATGACCTGCGACTCCAGCCGTTTTAGGACTGCCTCGACGACGAATACCGAAATCGGCGAGTCCATTGGTTTTCCCTCGACCTGCTCGTAGATTGTTTCGTCAAACGTGAAGTACAGTGGGTGACCCATCTCATGAAATTTTGCCTGAAATTCTGAAATGCGTTTTCGATTAGGAAGGATAACTTAGTCGCCGTTGTAATACTGCTTAGCCTGCGGCATACTCTTATAACATTTCAGACTTGGCAGGATGTTGGCTTTTAAATGCACTTCTTTTCAATCTCCTATAGAAAGCGTGCTCGGTAAAAATGACTACTTAATTAGCATGCACTTTTCCCATTGATTTTCGATGGTCTTGCAAATTCAAATATATTTTATAGAAACCATAAACAAAAATATGCTTTCTTCTAGTCAATCAATAGAGAATCACGTCTTCTTTATATTTTAAACTTAAGGAAGGAGTATAATTGGGTTTTAAAAAAGTTTCTAATTGCCGAATAATTTGAAGCCTGATCATTCGTTGTATTAGCGCTTAGTGATTACACTCTACAAGGTACATTCGTTTCGCGTAAGGAAAATCGCATATTTTTCTATGCCATTAAAGAGATATCATACAGAGTCCACAAAATTTTGCAATGGATGCGGACCATGTTGTACATTCCATGAGTAGCAGTGGTAAACGGACAGGTACGATGCTATGTGAATGGACATTTCGCGGTCTTACAAAGTCACATAATTAGAAACTTTTTTAAAACCTAATTATACTCCTTCCTTAAGTTTAAAATATAAAGGAGACGTGATTTTCTATTGATTGGCTGAAAGAAAGCATATTTTATTTATGGTTTCTATAAAATATATTTGAATTTCCAAGACCATCGAAAATCTATGGGAAAAATGCATGCTATTAGGTAGTCATTTTTACCGAGTCCGCTTTCTACAGGAGATTGAAAAGAAGTGCATTTAAAAGCCAAGATCCTGCCAAATTCGAAATGTTATAAGAGTATGCCGCAAGATAAGCAGTATTGCCAATAGAAGCGAAGAGCCGAGTCCCAGGAATTAGTCTTGAAGAAGGAGACACGATCGCCGGGACAAGAGCTTTATTAGCCTGACGTTTCGGATTCCTACTCGAATCCATCATCAGAGACAAAAGAGCAGAAACGGGTGGTTGTTGCACAAGGGGCTGCGGTATTTATAGGATGCAGTAGCCATGCTACCGCATACCTTTGAACGTTCACGGCTCCCCCCTTCATCCGAGATTGTCGCACTTGGTGTGATCATGGCTTGACGGCCGACATTAGAGTCGATAATTGCTGCAATTTCATCACGTGCGTTAGATGTTGGCGTGATGATTGCTCGACCATCTGACGCATCGAACCCGGTGTTGGGAAGAGTGTTCACCTCTGCGCTCCCCGCATGGCTTGTTACCCCGCCTAGGCGAAGTTTCAGTACGGAGTATGGAATGGGAAGATCGTTGCACTTGTTGATGGACTGGGGGCCAGTAAACCATGATTCCAGTAGCTCCCGGCCCACTCGGTTGTCACCTCTTGCGAGAATTTCGGCCTCATCGAATTTAAATGTGTGGCCGGATCTCGTCAAATGAGCCGCAACTTTAGAGCTGGCGTCATTTCTGCGCACCGCTGCCGCGTGTTCGGCCATTCTCTTTCGGAGCTGTCTTCCGGTTTCTCCGACGTAGTTGCTTTGTCCGCAACTGCATCAGATCCGATAGACGACTCCAGACGTTTCTAGCCGTGGCAGTGGGTCTTTCGGTTTCATGATCAGACCCTGATGGTTGCCTCCGGCCTGTGTGCAACTCCAACCCCAAGTGGTGCGAGAAGGCGGCCGACAGCTTCCGACACGTTCTTGACATACGGAAGTGCCCGCCAAGACTTGGTGTCCGTGCGGTTAGGCCTTTCGTCCCTTTTGCGTATGCACCGGTCGACGAAGTTGCGCGGGTAGCCATTGGCTTTGAAGACCCGTCGGAGGTATTGTAGTTCAGCAATTTTGTCTTCCGGCTCACTGCAGTGCGTTTCGACACGCCGATAGAGCGTCCTTACACAACTGCGTTTGTGGCTGATTGGGTGGTTACTGTTGAAGTTCAGTACTTGCATCGTATTTGTCGCTTTCCTGAACACTTTGGTCTTTAGTCCACCACAATCCTTGCGGCATACGAGGACATCCAGGAAGGCCAGCTGGTTGTTCTCTTCCTCCTCCATCGTAAATTGAATGTCCGGGAAGACGGCGTTGAGATGTTCTTGGAATGTCAACACCAGTTTTACAACCGCGACCAAGTAATCCTTCCTAATCGGAAACGCATTTCAGAATTTCAGGCAACATTTCATGAGATAGGTCACTTACTGTACGTCCTGAGATAGATCTTTAGGAGCTGAAGGACTTGGGCATGTCCGAGACGATTCTTCGTTTCATGTATTTGCTTTGTACGAGTACATCGACGGTCTCGATTGCCGGATCCTGGGGACGTGACATCAAAAGTTACCATGACCTAATTTGGCAAGAAACTCCTCCAAGAATTGTTTTGACGAACAGACTGTGGTGTGCGAATCGGCAGTCAGAAATTTGAGACGTAGAAACAGCCATTTTGCCAGTTCGTACGTTGGAGTACCTTTGAGCGAACAAGTATCCGCCCATAACTTCGAAACAGGTCACGAGTTTAATTTCGCCGGAAACAATGGGGTCCGGGTCGTAGGTAAGCACTCAGTCAATCGATGTATGGATCTGACGCTGGCATGCAGAGCCCAGCGCCACTGATGGTTGATTGACAAATACCCCCTATAACAGTCCTCCGTTTCGCAGCTTTTTGGAGCTGACGATTGACCCCTGAAAATGTTTCAAAGCTCAGACAGATAAACAGATGAGTTTGATGCCCGGTCAGTGTTCGTCCTTTCTCATACATGCAACTAAATATTCGGGCATTTACCTCTCTTTACAATGTGGTCTCCTCTTAATTTCTCTCATTATTGGTCATATTGGGATAAGGATATCCTAGATTAAAAAACATTCCGAAATGGCGGAATGAAAAAGGTTTTGATAAAGGAAGTGTTAAAAGACTGGTTGAATCCGCAGAGATTTTCTGCAAGACCATAAAATGGCGGGCCTGTAAAAATTTCCACAGCTGAGTTTTACCAAATATATTTATTCCTGCACTCATTTATATGAATGTCGTCGAATTTAAACCTCACAGGGCCTTTTTTATTTAGTTTTTAAACAGACTTGATTCAAGCTTGCAATTCGCCAGTTTTCTGGAACAGATCAGCGATCATTGATTTACTGCCTGGGTTTTTCCTTCTCAGATTTGTAAAGCTGCTCACAAGTAATCTACTCAGCCAGCCCTGCTCCCAGTTTTATCAGCCGATTACAGTCAGCCTCGCTCGCCAAAACGTGGACGCTCTGATTTGGAACAGTTAACTGAGAATGCCTGTGTTAAGGCCTTACCAGGGTCGTAAAAAACGACAAAAATATAACCTTTCGTGCCTAACTGAAAAGGCATGTTTCCAGCCGAACCACGCGAATCAAAGTATGTGAACGTGAGCAGTGCAGCCAGCAAAGAAATTTGCCCGCGGCGGTCGAGGGGTCGACCCTTATCTCGTTGCCAAATCATTAGCCAATCATTTTTGCCGTTACACTGCCCGAGAGGTGGCTTTCGCTTATCTGGATTGGGATCTCGACCATCTCCAATTTGATAAATGGGCAGTAGAAGGCGAAAAATGACACTCAGGAATAACCCTCTGTTTTTCTCTATTAGTGCGATCAGACTGGTGATGTTTGCGTGAACTCACTGCTATTTTCAGTGCCACGTAGAGTGCTGAAAATAAGGCGTTTTAGGTTGAAGTACTTTTCAGAGGAAGATAAGGTAGACTATGTGGTCATCTCTAATTGATTTGCTACCATCAGTATCAATCAGCCAACCATGCTAAACGTCGAAGAGGGAACCAGGTGGGCATAGAGTAGGTGGGCTAAATCATGAAATGTCAACCGAAATTCCGAAATGCGTTTTCGTTTCGAAAAGATTAATTAAGTAGGGTTGTAAACCTAGTCAGCCCGAAACATAATTCTATAATATTTCAGTTACCTCAGGATGCCGGCTTTCGAACGAACTTCCTTCCGGCTGCATGGAAAAAATACACTGTAATAAATGACTACCTAAGTTGCATGACTTTCTCTCACTGATTTGCGATGTCCCTAAAAGTCCAATTATATTTCATGGAAAACCTGCACAAAAATATTCATTCTTTCGCTCATTCGGTAGAGAATTACGCCTTCTTCCAATCTGATACTCGAAGGAAGAGTATAACTCGGTTTTCAAAACCATATCCGATTCCCAAATAATTCTGAACTCGCTCTACCGTTACACTTGGATTTAGGGTTCCCAAACTACAAGCCTTATATTTTCCGCGTACGGAAAACCACACATTTCTCTACGGTACTAGAGGGGGACTATATAGGGTTCAAAAAATTTGGCAGTGGATTTGATTCATATTGTTAACTTTACAAGCCACATTGGTAAATGCAAAGACATGACGATGTATGAAGGGCCATTTCACCGTATTTAAAAGTCCCACAATTAGAAACTTTTTTTAAAAGTGAATTGTGCCCCTGCTTTGGATGTAGAATTAGAAGACGCAATTTTCTACTGAATGGGCAAAAGAGTGAATATTTTTATGCATGTTTTCCATAAAATATAATTAGACTTTAAGGGGCATCGAAAATCAGTGAGAGAAATTCATGCGACTTAGGTAGTCACTTTTTACAGAGTGTAGTTTTTGCATGCAGCCGGAAGGAAGTTCGTTCGAAAGCTGGCACCCTGATGTAACTGAAATATTATAGAATTATGTTGAAGGCTGACTAGTTTTTACAACCGCAGTTAATTAGTCTTTTCGAAACGAAAACGCATTTCGGAATTTCGGTTGATATTTTATGAGTTAGGCCTACCTACTGTATATCAAAGTCACAGGGGAGCAGCGCTCACGGGTCGGTTTGGTCCCCTCACCCTTGGATAAGGAAAACCCACCAACTTCAGGCGAGCACTTCTAAGAGCTGAAGAACTACTTATAAATGCCAAAAACTCGATAATTGCAGGCACGACCACCCTGAAACAGGTTGCTCCAAGGAATCTG